TTGATTGCTTTTACCATGATGAATTTAGAAGTGCCGAAACGGTTTAATATTTATATATTGCAAGTATTCTGTATTTTTTTAATTTAATTTTACATTTTATATTGTTTAAAATTTTGTTTTCCTAATATAAACTTTTAAAAATTCATATTTCTAATATATAAACTTTTCTTCACAAACTTTAGTAAAGTTCACTCCGTTATAATTTAAATACTTCTAATCTCTTTTTTTTACGTACATATTTTTAATTTAAGTCATTGTATGTGTTAAATAAGTTGATGTAATTTTCTTCTTTTAAATATTTGATAATAAAATATATCAATAAAAATATTCTTATACAAAAAATATATATCACATTTTGAAAAATATAAATCTCGTCAATTTTCTATAAAAAATAAATTGAGCTTATAATTAAAAATTTACATTTTAAAAAATATATGAATTATACAAAAGTCAAATTATAATAGTTGGATCGAAATATAAAGGAACATATAAATTAAAACATGTTCCCAGGTTTTTATACTCTTCGTATATTTAAAAATCTAATCCCTCTTTTTTCTTAGTTAAAATACTCAAACCAACTTATTAATAATATTGGCATTAAATTTTAGTCCTTCAAAACATCAACTTTTTCCTTATATACCTTCTAAGTTAGTATATTTATTGAAAAATGATACATTAATAAATTTAACAGAAAATATTGATGTTAATAATTAAATTTCAATTTTTAAAATAATAAGTAATTTCTTAAAAATAAAAAATAGAATATTTTTTAAATAATATAGGGTAATGATAAGGTAGTATATGTTCAAAATATTTCTTATAAATATCATGTTAAAGGATATTTTGTGACTCGAATCCAACCCAAAAATCTGAGAAAAATAGGAGACTGGATACCCGATCCTCAAAATCAAGTATTTTCATTATAAATACCGATATTTTTTAATCAAGTCAACAGATCAAATAATTCAAATCCGATATTTTTAAACACGTCTAACCAAAATGGATATATTTTTTAAACTACTAATCTTGAAATATTTAATTTGTTACCATTACTTCCCTTCTCAGTTTTGGTAATCTTGGGACATTAGTACAGAATTACCTCCAATATATATTTTATTTACAAAACAAAATTTTCTTACAAAAAAGAAAAAAAGGACATTTTGGTAAGTCCAAATATTTTGTCCAACGTAACTATAATTATATATAAAACCAAACGATAGAGCTGGCCGTGCCACGGCAGAAGAACCCAAAAAAAAAAACATGTCCACATTCTCTTATTATCGTTAATTGTCGTGCTTTATAAAGAGACCGTAACAAATTTCACACCTCTGCTTCCTGACTTACATTGCGGGGAACTTCCTCCCCTTTTCTCTTTCCATTTCCTTTATTTTCTCCTCTTTTCTTGTCTGTCCCTTTTTTTTCTTCCTTTCCTTTTCCTTCCTATTGTTTCTGTGTTTTGTTTGGTTTTTCCGGCGATCATATGTCGTCGGGAACCGCAAACAACTCTGCCACCGCTAACGGGAGCACGATACAAGGTGCACCCACCACCACAAGACGACGCGCGCCTGATTCAGACAGCAATAATTCATCTTCTATTGCGGATCATTATAACCCAGTTTCTAATGATGAAGAATCCGACAATCCCAACGGTTACATTCCCTCAGGGCCTGTCTCTTTCCGGGGGCATTATTTGCAGCAGCACCTCGTGATAACGTATTTGCAGCTCAAAAGAAAGTTGTTGTTTTCTTGGGTGCCCGATACGTGGTCCTTTTGGGTTGGATACCCTTTTCGTTGGGCGAGCTTGAGATCCGGTCGGAAACTTGGCCGGAAAATCCTGGGTATTCTCTTTCTCATGGCGGTTGTTTCCGTTTTCGTCAAGGTCTCGCTTCTCAGTACCCACGTTGAGTTTCACGGAAAATGGCGGAAAGAGAACGGGCTGCTCATCTTGCAGACGTTCAAAGAGGATTGGGCCATGGCGCAACGCGTCGTGAGGGAGACTGAACACTCCATGCCCAAACGCGTTCTTGAGAGGATCACAGTAAGTTTCTTGGTCAAGAAAATGAAATTCCGTTTTCCTTCTTTATTGTTTTTTGAATGATTTTCTTGAACGGTTTGACGAATTTTTTTGACGGTGGTGGTGGCTCTGACCAACCAACGAGTTCCTCCATTTTCTGGGTTACATTTTTAATCACGAGTCATTAAGTTGGCGGATGTCTGCTATGTTCTTTCATGGCTTTTCCAGCTTTTTCCCTTTTGCATTCACATGAAGATTTGACTTTTATATATATATGGAATTCTATATTTTCTAAGTAAAATTCTGAATAAATTCTTACCTTTTCCCCTTTTTTATTGGTTGGTGTGATAGTAAATTTAAAAGTTATCAACATTTCCTTCTTTGTTGGATTAAAATTTTCTTGCTTTGTTTACCTGCAGACTCCATATATTTGGATGAAACCAAACAGTGACACTTATTATCAATGTATATCTCGGCCCAAGAATCGGATAAGTATGTCTTGTTCCTTTGTCATCTTGCTTAAATGGATTTCTATGTGAATTTTTATCAATGATCTGAATCAAACTCCAGGATCAGGATCAAAGTCTAATGGCTATGTAATTGTTCATGCCAATGGTGGATTGAATCAAATGAGAACAGGGGTAAGTTTTTTTACTGGAATTTGGATTGGATCTCTGATTTTCTTGATTGATTCCACAAGCTAATCTTGTGGATCTATTGGTTTATATAGATATGTGATATGGTTGCTGTTGCCAAGATAATGAATGCCACCTTGGTTCTTCCTCATCTTGACCACGAGTCATTCTGGACTGATCCAAGGTAAAATTGATCATTCGAGTTGTTTTGATATATATCGGTTTGATGTTTTTAAGTTCCCAAAAGTTAACTTGTTTTAGTACATCTTGGACAGTGGTTTCAAGGATATCTTTGATTGGAGGCACTTCATCAATGTGCTAAAAGACGACATTGAGATTGTTGAGTATCTTCCTGCTAAGTACTCGTCAATAAAGCCTCTGGTCAAGGCTCCTATTTCGTGGTCGAAGGTATGGAAAGTTTGAAGCTTGTTAAATGTGTGAATGTGTTTATGGAAAGGTGGCTTAGATGCTTCAGTTTACAGGCTAGTTACTACAGAAGGGAGATACTACCACTACTAAAGCGGCATAAGGTGATCAAGTTCACGCATACTGATTCAAGGCTTGCTAATAATGGCCTTCCGAACTCTATTCAAAGACTAAGGTGTCGAACCAATTACGAGGCTCTCCGATATACAAAAGAGATAGAGGATCTCGGGACAACTTTGGTTGATAGATTAAAGAACAATAATGACCCATATATAGCTTTACACTTAAGGTACTGTCATTTTTCGGTTTAAGGTAGTATTTCTCCAAATAAAGTTGTCAGCCTAATAAGACTAACCTTGATTGCAGGTATGAGAAAGATATGCTTGCATTCACAGGCTGCATCCATAATCTTACTATGGAAGAAGCTGATGAACTCACTTTTATGAGATACAATGTTAGACATTGGAAGGAGAAAGAGATAGATAGCGAAGAACGGCGAAGGCAGGGGGGATGTCCAATGACCCCTAGAGAAGCGGCTGTGTTCCTCAAGGCCATGGGATACCCTTCCAGCACGCCTGTATACATTGTTGCAGGAGAGATTTATGGCAGCGATAGCATGGCTGCCTTCCGTGCAGAGTTCCCAAATTTATACTCTCATTCGACTTTGACAACAGAAGAAGAGCTGGAAATGTTAAAGCCGTATCAGAACCGTCTAGCTGCGTTGGATTACATTGTTGCACATGAAAGTGATGTCTTTGTTTATACCCACGATGGGAATATGGCTAAAGCAGTGCAGGGGCACCGGAAGTTCGAAGGATTCCGGAAGACCATCAACCCTGACAGGTCTGTATACATCAGAATTTCGTTCTCGAAGCATGAATAATTAATTAAGACTACCGTAATGACATGATTTGTTTTATTTCCAGACAAAATTTCGTCAAACTCATCGATCAGCTGGATGAAGGTGTGATATCGTGGGAGCAGTTTTCTTCAGAAGTAAAGAGTTTGCACTCTGACAGGCTTGGAGCTCCATACATGAGACAGACTGGAGAATCACCACGACTAGAGGAGAACTTTTATGCAAATCCCCTTCCTGGGTGCATTTGTAAAAGAACTCAGGAACAGAAAATCAGCGACCAAAAGTTCGACCAGACCTCAAGTTTGGTCCAAAGATAGTATTATTGTTAGTAGCGTTAAGTTGGTTGAATTATACACTGCCCTTTGGAGGATGGCTTGATGGTGGGTTCTTGAATTAAGGTGATTTCTTCCTGTGGCAGGGAGACTTGCAGCGGCCACCTACAGGGCTTAGAAATCTTATGTTTCAGGCGTCTCATTTGATTCGATATCAGCTGAATTTATGAGGTTCCGGTTTCAGTTTTGCTAGAAAGACCAAACCAGCGACTTAGGTAAAAAAGCACAGAGAAAGATGTATAATGGCAAATCAAGTTTGTTATATAAGCACACGCATATACGTCACCGGGTGTAATCACAGCATTGATTTATTCATTATTCTTTCAATAATTTGTTTGTAAACAGAAAAGAAAAAGAAGGTACATTTTCCAAATCAGCATCTTACAAACTTTGATGTAATATCTGAACACGTAATAGAGATTGTTTCCCAAATGTTCCTATCTGATTCTCTTATCTTGTTCTAAGTTTCATCTTCTTTACCATGCGATGATAGTCGCCAGTGTTTTTGTCATCACCCTTTGTTACCACAGGAGCAGTCACGGCAATCTTTTTGCTTCCATGCCGGATTATTCGTTCATACTCATTTTGTTAGAAGACAGGTCCACAAGGGTTACAGGGCATTTCTGGAAAATCTTGGGTTCAATATCTTAGGGTTTGGTTCAATATAAGCGGCTGCAAGCACTGCTTCTGTTGTATTCTTACAAATTCTTTTGTTTTTCATATATTGGAGGAAAAGGGCATCAATGATGAGATGATTAAATTGTTATCCTTGAACTTTGATTGTCAGTGAAGAAACAAAGTGGGCATTTTTATATCTGAGATGCTTCGTTTTCAACTCTTTCGATTTCTGGGTTTTTTTTTTGTTGTTGTTGGATCAAAGATGCTAATTTAATACTGCGTTATCTGTCTGATCGTTCCTTCTTTGAAAGGAACTGAAGATAACACTAATCTCATACTGAGATCCAATTTAACTTTTATTTTGCTTCTTGCTGAATCCATTGGATAAAAAAATGAACCCCTTTCGTTGTTAACCGATATTGATTGAGTTTATGAGATGATGTCGTTGGATCCATGATGTTAATTTACAAACTGCGTTATCTATCTGAGCTTCCTTTTTAAAGGGATTGAAGATATTTTCCATACTGATATCCATTGTCTTTCTCGTCTCATTAAGTTTTCAGTTGTCTTAGAAGATTGGGTGTATTTAGCAGCTGTGGTTCTTACTCCATTAACATTTGACATATCTAATCTTATTAGATGACTTGGGATTGATTAGCTTACTCCTTTGGTTTTCATATGAATTTTACCTTCTTTTTGCTTCAAGTTACATCAATCTCGAATTTTTGATTGTTTATAGAATGTAATGTACCATATGATGGAAGATTAAGATTTGAACCTTGTAATATCATCCACATTGTCTGTCTCTCTTGTTGTTTCATGTTTCCTGGTCAGCTAAATGTAGCTGATATGCACCATGGAAGGTGTCATAGGCTAAGCTCAGACTCTAAACGGAAGCACAAAGGAAGCTGATCAGTGGATGCTCAAATGTCCCGGACAAGAATTCATCCTACTTCGTAGCATGGATTCGAAACAATTGCAAAATCAAATGTTTCAATCCTAGGATTTTGTCATGGAATGTAAAGCAATGCCAGGAAATTACAAATTCCAGGAAGAACTAATCTGGAAAATCTTGTATGCCAATATGAATGTTAAAACATACCGAGATCCAGTTTTACTGTTTTAGTAACATGCCCATTGCCTGTCTCGAATCAGGTCGAATAACCTATGTTAACGAGACTCGAGATGAGTCTTGAATACTATCATGCATCTAAATATATGCTGAGCACAGATCATACTCTCAGAAACATGGGGGAAATGAAGAAAAAAAAACAGGTAATATAGTAAAGAACTTGCACAAGAATTATGCATTTAAGAGTTATAAGATTAAGACAAGCAACATTCAGTTTATATTATAAGGTAAACCAACAGGTACATTTTCTTTTCACAATTGGTCATTAGCTACAAGCACAAACAAAACCTGCAAATTACAATTACAAAATATCATCACTTTACAACATAAAAACTTTCAATCAGAAACCCTTACTCCAAAGATCTAATTCTTGCCATCTTTGACAGCAGCTTCCACTACTACTACCTTGACCTTCTTGTAATCAAAATCCACTGGATTCATACCGCACTCTTCAGGCACCACAGGGCGCCTATCGCCAAGGACGTTCCATAGGTACATCACGCAAGAAGCCATCAAGGCTCCGCAGGCGCCACCGAAGACGAACACAAACACTTTCCAAAAGCATTTGCTACTCTTGGGCACGGCTGTCAAAGGTTTGGGGTTCTTCGCAATGACGGGATCGAGTGGTTGGGAATGCATCCAATTGGGAACCTGCCTCAGCTTAAAACTCCACGAGTGAATAAAGCATGTCTGCGAAGAGTTGCCATTTGAAGAGCTTAAGCCCACAAACACTTCATCATTCCATAGTTTCGACAAGTTGATCGAATAGGAAAGCAAGGGATCATCTGGCCGGGAACTACTAGATTGACTCAACCTAATCTCTAGTCTATTTGAAGTTGCCTCATAATCAATCCAACAATGTAATTTCCCCCCATCGTTTAGCACCAAATTGAGAGATGAAAGATTTCTGGTTTTAACTGATGCCAGACTACCCACATGGTTTTCACTCAAATCACCATGCTTGGCATCTTTAAAGGTATCAAATTCCACGGCAGCAATACCACTTTTGCTTTTATTCAATCCAATAGAAACCCCAATCGAACTATTCCCCGATACATCAACTTTAAAACTACTAGGAACCATAATAAAAGCCAAACCATCACCGTTTTCAGGAGACACTGAGAAGGAAAAGTAAGTTGAAAATGAAGCAAAGTTCCTGACTTTACCTTCAACAAGCTTGATGGGTTTCTTGTACATCACTGCCCCAGCACTCCAACTCACCGAGTCGGTAAGTTGAATCCAAGAGCCATCGTAGACAACATGTGCATCCCCATACAAAGCAATATTGGACTCAAATTTTGGATCTTTACCAAAACTTTTGAAAGAAAAAGAGGAACTTTGCTCTGCAGCCAAGATTTTGAAGAAAACAAGACAAGTCAGGGCTGTGAGGTAGCTGGAAATGAAGAAAGTTGCCATTGTTGAAGTGGGTTAGAGATGAAATCAGAGCTTGGTTCTTTGCTTTCTTTGTTGGCCTACAAATATATGGCAGGCGATGATTCCATTAACAACAAGCTGATTTCTTTTTCTCTTAATTTTTAAATTTAGGCTTGTGGGTGAAGAACCAGAGGTAAGAAAGTAAAGAATATTGAAGGATGGGTTGGAGTTTGTGAAAATTAAATACGTTTCACTAGTTTCTGCAAAGTCTTTATGAGCCGCACTCTCTCCTCTTTATCTCTCTCGGTAGTTGCTGCTGACTGAGGGAATATTATAATGAATAATTTTCAGTTTAGCACTTGTATTTTTTCTATGCTCTCAAGTGTACCCTATATTCTGCTTCATTTACATTTCCATCCATAAAAATCAAATGGATTTGATTGTTTTATAAAGTGCTTTTGTTCCATTAATTGTGAAAAGTTTTATATAGTTCTTGTTCTAACACTAAAAATATAAAAAAAAATATTGCGAACTTGTGATTTTAAGCTTCAAAAACTAGTTCCGCTAAAAGGTCATATCTATAAATATATGAACCAATTTGGTACTTTCTTCTTTTTGAAGTAACCAATTTGGTACTTTTTACGTGAGTTGGATTGGTGATATGTAATTATTTTCGTGACACAATAATGATTTTACTATATTACATGTTATTATTTTAATTATGATCGCTAACATTTTCATTTTACATTAATACTGTCTCTGTACCATAAAATATATTCGTTGGCTTTTTTTCTTTCAATTTTTTAATTTTGATTAATTATTATTTAAAATTTATTATTAATAAAAATATGTAAAAATATATTTTAAAATTCTTCAAGTAATTTTTAAATATATATTTTATAAAATTTAATTATTTAAAATATTTAAAATAATCATAGTCAAATTTTAAAAATTGTGACTTTTAAAAAGTCAATAAGAGATTTTTTTATTGGACGGAGTAAGTAATTGTTTTTTTTACAAAATGTTTAGGTTAGAATTGACTCTCCCAATCTAAGGTCAAGACATAATTAAGATTCAATTAAGATTTACATATGAATTTATAGATTGTCAATCAAGAGTGACGATGGTAGGACTCAAACTTAGCCTTATAAATTTAAATTCTTAAATTTCAACCACTCGTACTAACACTCGTTAGTGAAGTAATTGTTTTAACAAATTCGTCTTTAAATTTAATTTATTCAATATGTTATCTTTTTATGATCAAATTAAATTCATATATATATATATATATATATTTAAATCAGAAATCTTGTATTTATATATATTCCAAAGCTCCGGTATGATGATTTCAAAATCAAATTGATAGTTTGCGAATTATTGGATGGCAGTCGATAAAAGCAAACTTGCTTGTTAGCTTCAATGAAAAAGAAAAAAAAGGATTACTATAAAAATAAGGGTTGAAATTATATCGTTTTTTTTTAAATGGTATCTAATTTTTTTTATCAATTTAGATGTTTAACATTATAAACATTATCACTTTAGGCGTCTCGACCGTAACGGGTCATTATAAAAGTCTCTTAAGTAACACATGTCGCCTTCATATACTTTTGAAAATTTTATTTAAGAAAACTAAAAAATATTATCAAATTAAAAAAATCATAATTTCTATTAAATTATAAAAAAAAATCTTAAATCCCTAACCTTAATCCTAATCTTACCTCTCTTGTTTGCCATAGTTGCCATTGCTAACATCGTCCTTATCATCTCCCTAGTCAGACGTCATCATCCTTGTCGGGTTGACTGTCGGGATCGCATGGAGTCACAACTTGTAACTTTGTTCTTCGTCAGGGGTTGCATGACTCGTTGTACGTTGGCTCCTGTTACGGTGGTTATTTGTGGGGTTTTTGATCATCGGGTGAAGGTGAGGTTGGGTGGAGGTTTGATGACGACAAATGACAACGGACGATGTGGGTTTAAGAATTGAAATAAAAGTTTTTAAAATTTTGAGATTTAAAAAAAATAAAATTTTAGTGGATTTTAGGAAGAAATTATATTTTTAAAATTTTCATTTAATTTTTTTTCTTATCAAAGCGTAACACGTGTTGTTTAACAAAAAATTTAAAAATTATTAGATTTAAGATTTGAAAAGAGAGAGAGAGAGAGAGCGCCAAAGAGTGAAAAGAAAAAGGGTTGTAATTGGTTGCATTGAAGTGAACAATAATGTTAAGTGTGCTTTGAACGTGCCTGCCAAAAAATAACGTAAGCGTGCTTTCTTATCTTCACGCCCCCACCAAGCCCATTTCTCTTCTCAAATTACTTCCACCATTTCCTTTGGTTTAATTTTGCCACAAATGCCCATACTTTTCACAAACTCACACATCAGCTTGTACATGATGGACTATGGGGTTGGTCTTGAAAATTTTAAATTCTCATATAAATTAAATATTTTTTACATTTTTTATTAATAATTTATTTTTACCCCTTAAAATTTTATAAACTCCTCTTAATATAAAATTATATGTATGTCCTACTCAAACCTTAGTGTTCAAAGATTTAGGGTCTTAACCTTTATCAAATGTGCTAAGGCCTCATCGGTAAGTATAATTTAAAAATGTAAATCTAACTGATTAACACATATCCAAATTTAATGAAAGTCAATTAACATATCTGTCGGTCAGAGTTTTACTTTTAAAATCAGACAAATAGGGTAATAAAATTACATGAGTTAAAATAGAGGGACTAAACTTAGAAGAGTACAAGTATTGGAGGTGAAATTAAACCTTTTCTTTTAACTTTAATATATTTGTCGTTCGAACGAGTGATTTTAAGTGTGTGTTTCTCTTATATGGGTAAATTACAAATTTACTCAGTGACTTTTACTCTTTCTCGTATTTCATTTGTTATACTTTTAATTTTTTTTAATTTAATCATTAAACTTGGTTTTTGTCACTCAACCACTAACTTTCTAACGATATTATGATATGACAATCAACACCAAAACAACGTAATTTTGGATATTATGAAAAATCAAATTTAGACTTGATGTAAATAAAAAATTATTTTTATTTTTTTATCACACTCATTTTCTACTCTTTCCTTCTTTCTTCTTCTTTCTTCTCTCTCTCTCTCCCCTTTATGTAACCATATCACAGTTTGACATGCGTCATGTACACACAAAAAATGCAACACAATCATTAATCATTTTTATTGACTCACTTTCAAAATGTACACCAAATAAATTATTATCTCTTTTCAAGAGAAATCAATTTACTCAATTTAGAAATTGACAATGACTTAAAGGGTGTTTAAACCAACTAAATATAACTTTAAATTTTAGGATCAAAATATTGGTTTTTCAAATGTATATGCATTAAAATATTCCTTTGTATATTAGAGAGACTAACATAAACATACAAACTGATAATCAAAATATATTCAAACAAAATTTACTTATAATAAAACTTAAACTTCAAAAAAAAAAAAATAAGTACTCATCTGTACACAAATTTATGCCAGTGAAACTTGAATCTATATGCTACTGATGGATCTAAAGGAACATGATTGTGGGCAATTAATTGGTTGTTTTAAATGTAGCAGTTGTTGCAATAAAGAACCCTTTCATAGATGCCTGGCTTTTCATATTTACTGTGTCTTGCTATGATTCGTGAGCTTCAAACCCCGGAACATGCCGTGTTTGGTGACTTAAGGCCGTCAGCCCTAATTAAATCCGAATGCTTCAAAATATACATGACATATAACATTTACATTGTGACTGAAATAACTCTTAACCTATAACATTCAATATATCTTTATTTAACCCTACCCATAAATATAAGAATACACTTCAATTCATAGACGTGAACAAATAAATATAATTCGTATCGGACAAATACCCTAAACTTCGAATCCGTAACATATGATAGGTAGGTAAACGGAGCGGCCATTAGATGGGGAAGGCTTAATTTTACTTGGCCTCTGAATTTTTTCTGGATAAAGTACACAAATGGTCCCCTAACTATAGGGTGTTGCTTTGTTGAGTTCCCTAATTATTAAAATTATAAAATGATTCCCTGACTATAGGGTGTTACTTTATTGAATCTCGACTATTAAAAGTTACAAAATAGTCACCTAACTATTCATATGTTCAAAACTCATCCTTTTTAGTTAAAAAAACGTTGACTGTCTGAGTTGGATGTTAACATATTCACTAGAATATGATAAAATCTTATGACAAAATCGTTTGAGTTGTATTTTGTGGATCCATTCTATATTTACATTATGTCGTCGAGCTAGTACTTTAAATATTATGTCGTCAAGCCAATGCTTAAAATCAACAATGGTGCCAATAAATATCATTAAAACATGATTTTATCATATATAAATCAGTATGTTAACGTACAGTTCAGACGACAATCAGTTTTTTAATGGAAAAGGAAGTTTGGAACATATGAATAATCATGTGACCATTTTCTAACTTTTAATAGTTGAGAGACTCAACAAGCAAATCCCTATAATCGGGGACCATTTTCTAACTTTACCCTTTTTTTATTACTTAATGTCTAACCACGAGCAAAAAGCGTATTGGTTTACTTTATTTCCCGTGGTGAAATGTGCCACCTCTCTAATAGAAAATGGTTTATTTGATAGATGGGTTATAGTATTATTTACAGAGCACATGGCATATACTAAAGGTAACAAAGACATGTGGCGATTATCAAATTGACTTGGGGTGAAACAAAACCCTACGGAACAAATAAGTTTAGAAAGAAGCATAAGCAGTGGCAGTTGTTTGTGCATTAAATTTGAAAGATGGCAAGGGAGGGGACCACTGGCTTTATAGTTTTGAATCTTGTGACCACTGCCTTCATTGGTTTTCTCTAGCTTCAAACCCTATCACGTTTGGTTGGATATGCTGAGCCCTTTACCCTGTTTATCAGCTTAGCAATAACATCAAGTAATCAACAAAATGGATTAGAATTAAAATTAGTATGAAGTATGATTGATATTCAGGAGATTAATACGTGCATGAAATGTAAATCGAATGCATATGTATTTGAATAGTCATAATTTTTTATTAGATGCAACTTATGACATGTAAGACCATACGCAAATTAAGTCACCCGTTAATATTAATTGAACTTATAGAGTCATACATCAAAATTGAACAAGTAATAATTAGTTATTATTGAATTCAAATTAAATATGAAGAATTCTTTTTTGATAAATCTACCGTGAATACAAGGTATTATTGTTCAAAGACTTTCAATCATTTGACAATGAACACTCACACCCCTGCATACACGATGTTTGAATCTAGAACTTAAAGTGATAACAATAAGCCCCTTAATCTTTGAAGTCGCTAGGTTCTCACTAATATGAATTATTTCAATTCATAATAACACCATTGTTTTGGGGAAAAAAACTAGAACTAGTATTTCTATTGACGTTTTTGTTCATTGGAGTGTGAATACTTAAAGAGGATGGTCGTGATAGCATCTGAAGGTTTAACGTATCAGACTGTGAAGGTAATTTTCGTTTACCCTTCTTTTGATTTATATGAAATGCAAGTGATCTTTGACGGGTTTTGGGAGAAAAATAATTTCCGCTATGTTCATTCGATAAGATGGAAACACTTCTCAAAAAATAATTATCTGTCTAAGGAGCTAGGGTTTCATCAACTGCTGAGAGTATAGTGGCTGTGGAAATTGAAGTGGGGCTTGATGATGTTCTGGCAATCCATAAGTGAGACAAAAAAGCAGGCCAAATGAAGGTAGCTACTTATCAGTTAAAGGAATTAAAGATGGACATGAATTAGATACCAAGTACAGTGTTAAAGGTAACATTGTTTTCCTGTCTAGATCAGAGGGCATATCATTTCGAAGAAGCTGACACATTCAATTTGGCTGAAACCTTTATATAATAAGAACTGGACCATTGGAGGACCACCGAAGAGCCAAGACACAGTAAATCATGTAACTAAACCCAGACGATATAGTCTTAGCCATCAGCTATTTAGTGAGGTTGTTAAAGTCTCTCAAATCCCCCAACGCCTTAAAGTAGCTCTTGGATATAATTCGAAGACTAGTATTAACATTGATCATATTTAAATTTCAAGGTATTGGAACCCATTGAGCAGCCTCAGCGGTAAAAGAGAGTGTTGTTCTGTCTAGAGGTCCCGGATTATGCAGGGTGTGTACGTTGTCGATAGACTAAGAAAATATCTGAACATATATTACCTTGTAATCATCCCATCTCAAACTATTCAAAAACCTTCAGATATATATATATATATGCATAAGCAAGCACACAGTTCTATATAGATCAGAAAAGGGTAACATCATGACTCGAGTTTTATCTAGTTGTCTCTTCAAGAAACATGTTCTATTAACCTATAAAGTGCTTGATATAGTTGCAATGCATAAAGTTGTAAAGCATAAATGTAAAGGGAAATTTGTTCTTCAAATTACATGGCCAAATATGAGTGTATGTGCACAAAAATGTATACATACTGGAGGGTTAGTATGAATGTGATGTATGAAAGGGTAAATTCAGAAAATTTCCTATTACCTAATGGTAAGGTACGATCACCCCAGCAGGCAACTAAGAGAACCATCTACAAAAGCTTACAAGCAATTACAAGGTGTATGTTCGGACTACCGTGCCACAATCTCCAGACAATGTCGACGAAAAGGATAACCATGCCAAAAGGTCATGAGTTCCATGATCTTACCCTTTAACCGTAATGATAATCACGAGAGCACATTCATATCACTTTGTTTCCAGAACAATATCCTTGGCATCTAGCTCCACTAAGCTTTCTTTCCCAAATACTGTAAATCCCACAGTTGCCTGCAAGAAACATGTTTTCATTTTAAAAAGCTGTTTTAATTTGATAGACAAAGAAACAAGCATTCACCGTAATCACAAGAAAGGATGTTTTAGGTTATTAAGGCCATAAAAGCTTTTAGGTTCGCACCAAAAAGCATAAAAGCATGTTAGCCAATGTTTGATTTCATAACTTCACTTGTTCATTCTATGAATGTCATACCTTTCCGGTTTTGCGGTTTAATTTCTTAAGGCTGCCAACAAATTCAGCAAAATTCCCAGATGAAACTCGAACCTTTGAACCTGGGACAAGTAGCTTAGAATACTTTGCTCCATTTGCAGAACGCTTTTGAGTTTGTCGTTTAGGCTTAGAGTTCAAAACGGAGCTTGTAACACCATCGGAATCTACACTATAATCCAAATTCATTTTATCAAACATGAGAGCATTTTCTTCTTGTTGTTCCTTCTCAAATGCTTGATCAGCTTTTATTTGTTCTTCCTTGGCCTGCCTGAAGATTGCTTCCATGTCATCAACAGACACCGGCCTAGGTTTGTTTATTTGTCTTTTTCTGCAAACCATGCAAGACCACTTAGTTATATTAACTGAAAAACTGAAACGAATAAAATACTAAGAGTTAGTACTCTATTTTTGTAAAACATGTATACAAGTGTCCCTGTGTTTGTTCAGGTCTTAGTGTACTGTCTTTATAGTTTACACATCTTTGAAATCCTAAACATGCCTCCAAACAAGATAAGAAAGAATCATGAAACCAACAGTTTCAATTCGATCGAGTAATCTGAATCAACAACATCAGATGGTAAATCTGTCTCTCCAAATTACAGTTAGAAGTATGAAACAATGCCATCTTCATACCGCTCAACAGTATAGAACAAATTAAGTTATGATTAACCTATGGTTTTATAAAATTTAGCAAATTTTGACAAGAAAGGTAACACTCACGTATTTCCAACCTTTGAACCAACAAAACCGCCAACTCCGTCGACCTCCCTTATAAAGTCATGAATCTCTTTGTTCAAAACACATCTTAAGAAAACACACCCAGGGAATAAGGGCTTCGGTTTAACTGATATCGAGCCATTTTTCAATCTCTTCTTCTCCTGGACAGTTGGAGTATATATCTGAAGAAAACAAAAACTAATCACTGTAAGTATATTATATATGCATCAATATCTTAACCTTTACTATAATATCTTAACCAATAACGCCTAAAATGTCCTATGCAATTCTTCATTTGTACATACAAAGAAGTTCAATGGAGGAGAATACCAATGCCTATACCAAGTCCAAGCATAGCACTAATTTGCCGACGCAACACAATGTAACGGCCACGTTGTAGCATTTTTCAATGTCACCTCGACACCGCAACCACAATTTAGAAACTTAGTTATTTTTAGAAAATAAATCACCTATAAGCTCCACAACATCCTCAACTGCAATTTCGTGCTACGCTCCCAAGATTATGTTGTTGTGTCTTGGTCTCTTAGCAATATTTAGCACAAACAAAAATTGTAAAACGAATCATTGATATTGTTCTTTCAAACCTCAATTACGTTTCAGTTCAATCCTCAAATAAGTCCCAACGTATAAATCAAATGCTAGACAAACAAAACAGTGCATTTACCTTAAATTTGATGTCTGGGAAGTTCCTAGCGAGTAAGCGAGCCATGACCTCAGCTGTCTCGAGACCTCTAACACGGGCGACTCGAACCACCCACCATTGAGGACCCAAGAGAGACAAGTTATCAAGATTCAGCTCCTCCGTCCAGGAAGTGTATCTCTTCTTGGGCTTTTTAATGAGCCTCTCTTCGACTTCTTCTCTCCAGTTGTACCCTGATTTGCTCTCCCTTCTTTCGTTTCTTAGCTGCCTTCTCTCCCTCGCTGATAGCTGCTGTTGGACTTGAATGTCGGCCGAGTCAAGAGATGCAGAGATTGGTGAGAGTCGTGGAGTGTGTTTGGTTGTTGGGATTTTGTGGGAAATTGAGAGGAAAGGTTGTAGAGATAGAGAGCAAGGACTCCATAGAAGAAGGCCCTGCTTCATTTTTTCAAAGATTTTCTTCGAGCCAGGGATAATGTGGAAAGTTGGAGTTTTTCCGATAACGTTGGCGTGTAATTTGTTGTTTTGGGCCATTTTATATCCCTCTTGATGGGCCGACATGGCCCAATCATTTTTCACTTTAACAAAAATATTTTTTAATTGATTGATTTGATCTAATTAAATTATAACTGTTTTGATTATAACTTTTATTTAGGTGTTTAAAATTTTCTTTCAAAATAAGTATTTAATATTTTATTTGTTATAATTTTAAAGCTAATCTGTCAACATTTATTAAAAAAAGTATCGACATAAAATTTAAGGGTAAATTACAATGCTGGTCGCTTTTGTTTCATTTTTTTTAAATGTATGGTTACTCGATTTAAAAAAGTTATTTTGTAGTCATTTCATTTTATTTTAATTAAGATGTGGTAACTGAAACGCTAACTTCTGTTAATTTGATGACGTGACTCGTTATTAAAAGGGTTTAATTTTTACTTTAACCCCTAAACTTTAGAGAAAATACTAATAATAGACCTTTTGTAAACCCAAAATTATTTAGGGACAAAAATTTAATTTACCCCCTTTTTAATATGTTTTCTTCACCAACCTCATCTTCTTGCACCGCACGCCTCCCTATTCTTTGATCCCAAACTTCCTTAAATTTTTTTGCACAACAACCATCTTGCCAGGATCTCCAGTTTCCTGGATTCAACACATGATAGGTAACTTATTATTTCAAACTGTAAGAGTACAATTGAATCCCTTCACCGCCACAAAATCATAACCAAAATTATAAGGCTACATCCTAAAAGCTCTATTAGTAGCTCTAGCAAATATCACTTCAAATGGATAACAAGAGCTGGGAGATTGTGATATACTTAAAATATAAAACTCCTTCTTCACACTATAGTGACTTTCTTTGCTTCTCTCTTCATCTCCATATTCTTATCTAAGGATCCATTATGGGGGGAAACATTAACAAAAAAGAGTGCTCCTCACCTCAACTTTAGAAATAATATCAGGATTTGATCTATTCTGCAGTCACCAAAACTGAAAGAGAGGGATATAAGGCCTCCATGTCTAAATAGTGTTGCTCCAAAAAAACACTTATCTACCATGTAAATTATGTTTCTAAGTGCTCTAAAAGATAAGCTGGTGTCAATACACCTTTTCGTCTAGGTACAACACTCTCAACAACCCTGATTTAATGAGATTCAGAAAACAAACATAACGTTAGAGTTTTACTAGGATTCAAACTCCGAAAAATAGTATAGAATTTTACTAGGATTCAAACTCCTAAAAATATGATAGAGTTCTACTATGATTCAAACTCCTAAAAATAGGATCCACAAGCGTTATAAATAGCAATTGTAACTCACTATTGTAACACACGATTTACATACAAAATACAGAGGAAAGCACGAAAAAATACAAAGGCAAAGCTATTGTAAACGATTCAAAAAGGAAATAAAAGGTAGCATCTTTTTTATCTTGATTCGTTCATTTCTCGTATGTGCATGTTATTTTTCTTGAGATTTGGTTCGAATAACCCAAAACGTGGGTTGTGCCGATGACAAAAAAGGGGTGGGTTTCGAAGTTTCGAACCTAGATCTACCCCCGAGGCGTGTTCCTATTTTTAAATATTCAATTCTCCCCCCTAAATCAATTTTTTTCTTCGAAATTTGCCCATCGATTTGTTTTTCCTTTTGATTTGGTCTCTTACATTTACATTTTAATTATTATTATTTTATTTATTTAACTTTATTTATATGCACATTTTCCTTATTACTCATTTTATTTAATTGCTTTGTTATTTTTTTTTCATGTAATACTTTTTTTCATTTTATGCATTTTTTTACTTTAGTATATATTTTTTATTTTTTTAGATTACATATATATATTTATGTTATTTTTTATTATCCGTTTTATTAATTTATATATATATATATATATACTATTTTTATGTTTTTATTTTATATATATATTATTTTTACTTTTTTATTATTATTTTAATTATTTGTTTTATTTATATATTTTTCTTCTTTTTTTATATTTTTTATATTACTTACTATTTTATCTTTGCTTTCTTTATCTTATCTTTTATTTAATTTGTTTTTTCTTCATTTTAATTTAATTTATTTATTTCTTACCTTTTTATCTAACACATTTCTTGGCTCTCTTAAGGGTACACCTTTAAAACTATCTAAGGTAAGTAATTGAGATCGTATTTTTACCTTTTAATTTTAAATTACAATTTTCTTAATTTAAGACAACTGGAAATTGCGTAGTACCAAAAGGGCAGTTCAAGGGTGCTAACCCTTCATTGACTGTAACCGACTCCCAAATCCGACACATCTTTGGAAAGACGCAGATCATGTAAGAAATAGGGTATCCAATCAACCCATTTGTTTTAAAATAAATGATCGGTGGCGACTCCAATTCGTTTAATTCAAGTCGAAACTCAATTTCAGGCCCAACAGAAAGACGGCTCCGACAGCTTGGCGACTCCGCTGGGGACAGGTAAGCGAGTCAGGCTAATGTAATTTTCAGTTGTCTTTTTAACGAAAAGAGTAAGTTTGAATTTTAAGGTAACTTTTCGATCTTTATTGCTTACTTTTTGATTACATTTTCGAGTAAATAGTTATACTGACCGTTTTCTCAATGATTTCAGCCCTTAAAGATTTTCATCTAAGGCTCTATACCCGAGCTCTGAACCCTATTTAAGTAGGGGTGAAAGCGACGCCTTCGTGTGAATTTATTCACCATGCAGGCCTAGCAAGTAGCCTTCAGGATTCATATACCTTATGCCTTCGTGTGAATTTATTCTCCGTATGAGCATAAGGGAATGTTTCCTCCCGAGTTTAACTTAGTCCACATAAGCTTGTAATGGGCTTATGACTAAGGGTCTGGCAAGCCCAAGGGGGCATCGACTAGGAGAACTCGGGTACCATTTTTAGAACCTAACCCAGGAGACGATGGAGAATTAGAGCCCACCCCAAAACCTCATTTCCAAACCCTATGTTGCTTTACTTCTTGCTTTATTTTCTGTTCAAAGCATGCGAACTAGACTAATATGCGGTTAGGATTTATTTGAAATTAGCATGCGAGATAGAGATCATGTCCGGGTAGGAATAATAAGCATGTGGGGTAGATATCATGTGGGGTATGACTCTTCATTTTCATCATTTTTTTTATTTTATCCTTATCTCACTAACTTTTTTTTCCTTTCATTTTTGCTCTTTGGCATTTTTTTCATTTACATCATTCAAAAGAGGTGTTGATCCACCAAAAACGTGTTTGTTTGACATAAATAATTTGCATTAATGGGCAAAAGGATTGTAATACAAGAGATGAAAATACAGAGGACAGTCTACAAGGCGACTGTGTCACATTCAATCCAGAAGGCGTGGTGCCCACAATTGAAGAGTATATCACTCTGTTGCATTCTAAAGGACTCAGAATAAATTGGGTCTACATCAAGCACAATGAAAGTCTATCTTGGAATAACTGACTGACAGAGGTTGCAGGGGGCAAGATGAAGGTTACTGATCTTTGGAGTCCCTTCAAAGACAACAATGGCAAAACGATAGCTGAAATTGGAGACCATTGCTGACGAATTCAAGAAACAAACAAATGACTTCACATAGTTTCTATCAATTGAGGGCTCCAATGACGTATTCGTTGGAAACATGTTCAACAAAAGATGCCAGAGATGCAGTCATTCGAGACTTCTTGGGCTAGTACAAAAAGCAACTCAACATTTGCACGATTCATCCAAAGAAACTAGAGCAATTCGACAGGTTATTCAACCGGTGACAGATGAAGGTAGAAGACTAGTCAACCTGTCAGAAGCTGTCAGGATATTTGTCTCTTAAAAGATAAAACACTTTTGTCCCCAATAGGGATTATTTATAATAACATGCATGTTTTCGGATCAATGCCTCGAGCATTTCATGCATTTTTGCATCTACATTTTTTATAGATGTTTGCACTGAGAGCATTGTTTTGTTTGAACACATTTTTTAACTTTCATGTTTGCTTAATCTTTTAAACGACTGAATTTATGCTACTTTCTAAGGTGGAATAATTGAACAAATTTTAATCTTTAGTTATTTGAATATTAAATTAATTAAATATTCTTTTAATTCTTCAAGAATTATAGATTTTTGACATATGACAAGATTATACATTTCTTATCATGTCTCAAACCTCAAAATAAAATACCTTAATTCTTTACCCAAAATAACTCATGGTCATTACCAAAAGACCATATTTTGACATTATCACCCTTTGAAACTTTTGAACATTTCTTTGAGTCAATAAAGTCACACCATTGTCTCTTTAGACTCAAAATTGACTTTTTTATACCATTAAAACCCAAAGCATTTAGTTGTTCTTTTGAACATGAGCATTCTTCTAAGACACAACTTGGGGCATCTCACATGGAGCCTCAACATTGAGACATATTGGAAGCAAGAAGCAGAAAGAAGAATTCATTTGAAATAATTCTATCATGCATTAATTACACTGTTTTCATCTGAATAAAATTAATCCTGAAAATCTATCCCCCTGAGGATACCTCTTCTGTGAAAACTTCCATGTATGAAATGATGAACGACTTTCTTTTTTCATCAATTCACACTAGGAGATAATATATATCTCTTGTGTCCCCTTTTGAGCCTATAATATTTTTCTTCTGATTCAACCCTAACCAAGGATCACCCTCCACACTGGGGGGCAAGGTGGAAGAAATCTACTCACGTGAGTGAAGACATCAATCCAAAGGAGATACCAAATGCCAAGTGCGAAGATTTAATCAGAACAAAAAGAAAAAAAAGAAGAAAAAAGCAAAGAGAAAATAAAAAAGAGAAACAAAAATAAAGAAAAAGTGAAGAAAAAAGAAGACAAGATGCATATGCAAAGATTCACTCGATTCAAATGACGCGTCGAGATTTAAATTATGAGATTGATCAAGTACAATCATTCCAGAATCACTTCACTCGAAGATCATGGAATATCCAAAGAAAATCAAGAGAAACACATACGAGCAGATTC